CTCCAAGGGTATGCCATTGATATTGATTTCTTGGTCAGAGGGTGTATCTTCATCTTTGTTGGATCGAGAGTTTGAGAATTCAAGGTAACAGCTCTTGCCAGTGTTTATGTGAAGTTTATTGGCAAGCATGTAGCGGTGTACGGAATTTAGGACATCATTGGCTTTTTTGTATGCTAGGTTTTTACTTTTTGCAGCGACGAAGATATTTGTGTCATCAGCAAATAGAACAAATTTAGAGTTCTTTTCAGAGTTTGTAAGATCGTTTATGTAAATTAAGAACAGAAGGGGCCCTAAGCAGCTCCCTTGTGGCACTCCAAAAAGCACAGGTAGAGTATCAGATATTTCATTGAGCACACCAACATATTGTTTACGGTCGGAAAGATAACTTTCCAGGAGTTTGTGTGCCCGTCCTCTGATCCCGTATGTGTTTAATTTTTTGAGAAGTATTGAGTGATCTATTGTGTCAAATGCTTTACTTAGGTCGATAAAGATTCCTAAAACATGATTACCGGCTTTGAGTGACTGCTGAATGTGGTGAATAGAGTAGTTGAGTGCATGTGATGTTGAATGACCCTTTCGGAACCCAAACTGGCTATCGTGCAGTATTCCCTGACTCGAGAGAAAACCATAAAGCCGTGAGTAGATAACCTTTTCAAAAATTTTACCGAAAATTGGGAGAGTGGAAATTGGACGATAATTTTGTAAGTGTTCTTCGTTATCTTTTTTGTAGATGGGGCTAATTTTACCTATCTTAAGGATGGCGGGAAAGCATCCTGTTGACATAAGGTTGTTGTATTGTATGGAAAGCACTGGGCTGAGAATGTGTGAGGCCTTTTTAATAACACTGATGGGGAAATCACTAGCTTTGCCATTTTGTAGCTCAGAAATGATGTGAGATATTTCACTCTCAGTGCAGTCTGTTAAGTACATCGAATTTGGGTTAGTTTTTGGTAAAAATTCAACAAATGAAGGAAGTGGCTCAATTTTCATTTCCCCATCAACTTGTTCATTCAATTTCGACGCTATTGAGGCAAAGTACTCATTAAATTTGTTTGCTATGAGTCTACGTTCTGTGATGCGTACTCCGTCGACACAGAATTGAGGCTTTATGGTTTTTTTGCATTTTCCTCTTAATTCATTGATAACTTCCCAAGTCTTTTTGCTGTCTCCTTGATGATCCATAATCTTAGTACAGTAATATTTCTTTTTTTGACTTTTTATTACACCTTTAAGACATCGACGATAGTTTGAAAATTTTGTGTGGAGATCAATATTTCCATCTGGACTAAATTCTTTTGACGTTTTCGAGGCTATCCAGTCATCATACAGCTCCTCTTTAGTTGAAATAGCTTCTGAAATTCCATCTGTCATCCAAGGATTGTTAATTGGATTTCTTTTGGAGACTTTGGGTTTATCTAGTTTGCAGTTAGAGTCAATTGTATGTGTGAAGATGTTAAAGAAGGTTTCAAAGTTGGTACTGTTTGCCATGATATCTTCTTTGGATTCAAGGTCTGTAATTAAAGTATCAACATTTTTCTTGGAGAAGCTGTAGTGTTGGAGTAGCTTTTGGTCTGAAGAAGTTTCGTTCATAGGCATGCAAAGGTTGAACATGGCTATGATTGGTTTGTGGTGGGAATTCATATCATCAATTACCCCAGACATCGTGACGTGTTCAATGTCGTTGGTGAGTATATTGTCTATGCAGGAATGTTGGTGAATGTTTGTGGAATGAGTTGGTAATGAGATGAGCGGAAAGAATCCCAATGAAAGAAACAAATTTTCAAATTTTTGAGTTGTGGGATTTGTTCTCTTTAGAAGGTCAAAGTTGTAGTCTCCCAAAATTATAGATTTTATGTCTTTGGGGAAGAGTGACTTCAGGTGTGTCAACTCATTGAGAAACTCTTTCGAGTCCCCATTGGGTGATCTATAAACCACACCAACATTAACTTTTTCACTCCCTTTATTGACAGTAACAAAGAGTGATTCAAGGTTTTTAGTTGTACTGATAAGCTTGTCGTTTATGGTTGCATTGAAGGAACAGTGGATATATAAACAGACACCTGTTCCTTTTGTTTTATTTGGAATTTTATCATTATAGAAATGCGAGTAGTTGCTTAATTTGTACAGATCACCTTTGTTTTGATTAACATTTGTTTCAGCAAGAGCAATAGCTGAGTAGGTAAGTTTTTGCATGCTCATTTCTGCAGAAAAGGAGTCAAAGTTGGATAGATTTCCATCTATATTGTAGAACATTGTGCTAAAATCAGAGTTATTAGGGACCTTTTCATGGACTGATTTAAGTTTGTAACTCTTACAGTTTTCCAAAATTGTGGATGCTTGGTTAATACAGTCAAAAGACTCCAGGAAGTCTTCTGAGTAGAACTTATCATCAGACTCTTTGCCAAGTCCTATGAGTTCCTTAAAGGGATTGTAGATCATGACACTAATACTATAGCAGTTGGTACATAAGTGTCCAGAGCCTCCTTGGCTAAATTTTGAATTTTTGAAGCATAATTTGTGTATTATTTTGGGACAATTTTGACATTCCAAGTATCCTTGACCAATAAGGACGTTTTTGTTGCAGCAGTCGCATATTTCTCGTTTGATTGATGGAGTCATTTATCTATACAGGGTTTGGTGGGCCACCTCTGAGTGCGTTAGAATATAACCTACTGCTTGATAATTTAGTTTTACTAGATTTAAATTGAAAGATGCAGCGTTTTAATAGGACAACAAGGATGCTGGTGCCTTTTCTATTGAGATGGAGTTCATCTCCAACATCAGTCTTTGCAAGATCATAATCTAAAAGATTTGTTCGCTTGTCTAGGAACTTGATAAAACCTTCAACTAGGATAACTTTAAGGTCACACTGGCATAAATCTTCAGCAATAAATCTATTAAACATAAAAATTCTACGGTTCTTGTCGTGTGATTTTGTGGGAAGTACTGGACATATGAATATTTTACATTTAGGGTTGTACTTCCTTATCAGACTAAGTTTTGTTTTATATTGCTTATAAAGTTCTTTGACCTTTTGGTCGGTAACTTTGTTCTTAAGGTCATTAGTGCCCACCATTAGCACAACATTACGGTATGATGTGCATGATAGTGGGTCTATTGAGTCTATTGTAGGAGCCCAAGATCTGAGGCCAGGGGTCGATTCACCAAGTTTACCTTTGCCGCTTCCGAATGTTATCGGCCCAAAGTTAGAATCCCCTATGAGAATAGTTGAGTTGAAGTTTGACCAATGGATGGCCCTGAATGTTAGACTGAAGCGAATGCCGTCAGGGACAGAATCATCATCTTCTTTTTTGATGGTGTGTTTGAAGAAGTCTTGACTATGCCTAGTCATCTGGTACATGCTTCTGCTATTACATTTGACAGTCATTGTTTCGTCAGACTGTAAGTTCCTAAACTGAAGGTGACGTGGGATCCCTTCTGACATCATACTTCTGACATCATACTGTTCCTGCAAGGCGAAGCAGCAAAGGGTGCGGCCAGGCTACAAGCTTATGGCAGCCTCACTCTTGAAACTATCGCTTTCAGGAAGGGAACTATCAAAAATCATACCACTATCAACAAACAATTCATGGCAGACCTCATTATCCCACCTAGAGCAACGAGAGACCTAACAACACCAACCATGATGCTGGGACGGCACTTCACCGTCACAACTCCTGGAGCCGATACCACTGAATATAGAAATTCACTTCAAAACACCATCGACAACATTACCAGTGAAACGATCACCTGCTACACTGACGGGTCACTCACAGACTCAGGATGCGGGGCTGGCTATATCATCACAACTGACAACAATAACACCACCCTTGTAGAAAGATCATTCAAGCTCCCTGATTATTGCACTGTATACCAAACAGAGCTCACCGCTATCATTGAAGCTTGCAAATATCTATCTACATATACCAACACACACATCATCATATGGTCTGACAGTCTATCATCTATTCAAGCTCTCTCCGCACTTTCAACGCGGAGTAGAACTACAAGAGACTGTTACGACTCTCTTAATTCACTCGGATCCAACAACACGCTAGATATACGATGGATTGCAGCACACATCGGATTGTGGGGGAACGAAAAAGCAGATGAGCTGGCCAAGCTTGGCACTATCAGCGAATCCACTTTGAGGTGTCCAATTCCACAATCCTACATCAAGCGTCAAATCGACAACAAAGTCAACAGACTGAATCAGGAAACTTGGTCAACTGACGGTCCCAGACACACCAAACTGACACTCGGCCACAAGCATGCCAAAATCATCAAAAACCTCAACACTACACTCAGCAACAACAGACAAGATTACAGAACTGCAGTTCACCTCATCACGGGTCACTGCGGCCTAAATAAACACCTTCACACCATTTGCAAATCAAACACCAGTGCTTGTCCTATGTGCGGGGACGGAGAGGAAACTGTCTCACACTTCCTTGGACAGTGTCCGGCTATTGCCCAAATTAGAGGTCAATATTTCCAGGACTACTACCTCTCTGTCAATGACATATTCGACAACCAACACATCACCACAATTGTCAATTTCACAAACCGCACCAAACGCTTAATTGTGCCGGAAGAGCTGGATCAGGCCGGGGTGACTTAAAGTATTATCTCATATGCTGTCTCGTCTCGTTTTACTCTTCCAAACCCAGCTGGCATTTAAGCGTATCATTTTGACTCATATAACATCCTACACCACCCTCCACCAATCACTCTGATCTCACCGGCAACCTTCCCCAAGGTTGCCACACCCCAGAGGTAGGCAGAGCATCTCAATGCTATCCTCTCGTGGGCTATCATGGCCCAGCCTCTCTAAAAAAAAAAAAAAAAAAAAAAAAAAGCCCAGACAATGTATAAAATATTAAGGTTAGGTTATAATACAATAGCGATCAAAATCTACTTCATAACTTAGCTAGGAAGGCCATGTTTATACTCAGTTGATAAAGAAAGTTATAAAATCTATTTCCTTACATAAATCTTACCATGCCCTGATGATCAATATAATAAAAATACTGCCTCTCTTCATTCAACAGTTGCCCCTGTATGTAAGATCTTGCTGGGTTAGATATTGTTGACACAAATGCAGCAGAAGCATTAACCAAGCGAAAAGAGCGTAGTGATGCACATTGCAGTATCTTTAGAGACATGATGGTTCCGGATCAAGATGCCATAATACTATTATGTCTGCAATAGAAGCTGTCAAACTTGTATGCCCTTTATTTGCAATAGCTACTGTACTAACTGTAATATAAAATTAGTTAAAATTACATCCCAAAAGACTGTTGTAGTAATATTACGTTGGGTGGAGTGTTTTACATTTAAAATTTTGGTTGAATTGGATATTTTTTATTGAAGTTAAAACTGACTGTCAGAGAGCACTTAATTGATATTCTCTCGTGGTTAGTTTTATCTCTAAGTAAATATTTTTTTAAAGTAAATTTTTAAAGTAATAATCGAATTCCAGACTAACCAACATATCATTTGCTTAAGTCTTAAATTTAGAATATAGATGCTTTTATTTGCTAATCCCATTTCAATGCAGATGTGTTTCTAAAATAAAACCATCCAGAGAATAATTTAAATTAAGATTATTATTAAGATCAATATGCATTTTAAATGGGTTAAACCTAATTAACCAAATACATTCCCCGATTTATAGTTCATGTAAATCATCTGTAACAATGTTACAGTAATTAAGCAGCATTTCCGATTAATTCAAGGTCATCAGCAAATAATTTAACTTTATTTTGAACCGAGTCAGGAAGAACATTGAACATGAACATTTACTTTTTTAAAGACAAAAAGAAAAGGACCTAAAATTAACATGTGATACTCGTAAAATGTTTGTTTCAAATACATTGATTGACGATGTCAATCCGTCGAGATCGTTGCTCTGCGAAGAAGAGCAACGATCGACGACGGATTCGATGCGAATCAAGAATGCTAGTTTGTGCGGCGCGTCGAAGTGGCGGAATCCTCCAACAAATACTTGATTGACGATGTCAATCCGTCGAGATCGTTGCTCTGCAATCAACGACGCAATGCTTCGATGCGAAGCAAGAATGCTAGTTTGCGCGGCGCGTCGAAACGGCGAAGTCCTCCAACAAATACAAGACCGTCGACGAGTTCAACTCGGCGCGCGTCTTGGTAGGTTATAAAACCTCCGGATGATGATTAATCACTCTACACTCGACTGTCACGTGACTTTTTAAACACGTTCTCTTGGTTGCCCTGAATGACTATTCGAAATCATAGCCCTCTAATCTGATGCCAACCTTAACCCTAACCCAATCCCTATCAAAAGCATATGCTGAAACCCTTACCCTAACGAGAAATTCGACCAACTTCCTTATACGGTCATATCACGTGATCAAGACAGTTTTTCGCAAATATCTCGGCAGGGGAGCATTTTAACCCTATGTCATGGGGGGTGATTTGGAATCAGCGGCCGAAAATACATCGATTCAAGCTGGTTTCAACTGTCGGGGGCCCTTTTAGAATAATCTCGAAGATCGACTGTAGAGTGATTTAGCACGCTCGAAAACCTCCTTGTGGTACTCCTAATATAACACTTTCAGGTTAACAGAAAGTATTCCTTTTACTTGCACATTAGAAGTTCTGTCAGATAAAAATCTTTTATCGCATCCAATATATTTCATGTAACAAAAAAGTTTTCAAGTTTAAATAGTAACCTCATCTGGATTCCAATATAAATAGTTTTAAAATATCCAATAGTAGTTTTAAAATATTTTCAAAAGTCTCAAGCAAATTCAACAAACAAAATTTCCCTTTGTAGCGCAATGCGTTACTGTGCCGCGCCGCGCACTCAATTATGCATGCTTCTCACAACACACAACGATCGGCAAAATGCGCTACTGTGCCACGCCAAGCTGCGATGAATTGACATCGTCCGTCAATTTAGAGTTCCCTTTAATACTTACTCTAACCAAAGCCCTCTCGCTAGCAGTAGTGCGCGACCGTCGACTACTTGTTTAACAAGCGCGTCAGTGTCACGCAGCTGCAGTCAGCAGTACGCGTAGACACATAACATGGCTATGTGTGGCTACCACTTAGGTCTGAGATCACTGAGGATGGCACAAGTAAGACACGATTGAGGTAATCAAAGTTGTATTCCCCAAATGCAAAGAAAGCTTTGATTGACGATCATGTCAACCCATCGAGATCGTTGCTCTGCGAAGCAAAGCAACGATCGACGATGCGAAGCAAAAATGCGAAGCAAAAATGCGAAGCAAGAATGCTAGTTCGCGAGGCGCGTCGAAGTGGCGAAGTCCTCCAAAAAAAGCTTTGATAAACGAAAAATCATCAAAATATTAAAAAAGATTTTGGAAGATTTTTAAAAAGGAGCTTTTGATCTGCCATTCCCTTCACCTCTCCATGTGCTTTTGCGCCGATTGCACCACTCATGGGCAAGGCCCATTAGTGGTGTATTTGGCCGATCTACCTCGAAAAGAATTATTTGAAGTGGCTAGTAATGCATCGTGCTTCATAACAACCAATTATCGTGAAACAACTACCGTATTTTTTTAAATGCGGCAATTTTCAGAGAAAAATTCGTATGCGAATTTAGTTCGAATAATACCAAATACTAAATAGTAAGATTATTCAAACAATATACACATAATATAACAATTACCCTATATAAAAATTCAATATAAATTCAATAGAAAACTAAATAAACACCCTTTAAGTAGTATAAGTAAGCCAGTTTAAAGAACTGGCTCCAAATTTATATCTAATTCTGCTATTTTTACTGCACTACTACTTTTTAACCCTCTCTCTCCTCTAAGAGCTATGACTGTTGTTCTCAAAAGGTCAAATCTTACTCTCTTCCTAATAAATGTCATTGCCTCACTATATCGTTGGCCTGATTTCCTAGAAAGTTTATCCGCTAATTTCTTGAAGAACTTATTAGCTTCCCTTCCCATACCCCCAGTGGTTGATAGGACTATCGGTGTAAACGTCCCATGTTCCACTTCTACAATCCTTTTATTGTATAAATTCTTTTTCTGTCTCTCGTGGCTATTGTACATAGTGGTTGGAGATCCAATAATACCAAATACTGAATATGTTTAGTGCGAATTTCACAGCATTGATCATAAAATCCTGATTACATTCCTGGTTACTCTACTCCGTGTTCAGTATTTTCAAGTAAATTAGTAGGACACAGTCCAGCTTTGTGCTGGCATGAACCAGAAATCTGATAATTTGTATTACATATTCTCATATTACATGTCAGGATTCATCAGAAGTTCAAAAGCCTAGCGATTACAAAATTCAGATAACATTACTGATTACTCTTTTATGCTGTTTTCAAGTAAATTAGCGGTTCTGACACAGTTTGCCCCTTGAAGTCCAAATTTACCTTTCTCATTGCTAAAATTCATTCCTTAAAACAAATTTTCCAAAAATGTTTCTAGATTCTCCCTCCTTGCATGTTGCACCATCTTTGAGAGTGAGACCTGTTACTGTAGGCATATTTTTCAAAATTTGAAGGACTTTTTCTTTGACCCTTAAATTGGCACAACAAAATCTTACTGGATTTATCATTTCAAATTGCTAGATTTCAATTCTGGAAGCAAATTTCCCGAAATTGCATTTAAAATCGTATTTTTTTTAATCGTTCTTGAAACTGTGTTTGAAAATTATTTTTATGGCCAAATTGCTCAGGCTATGACCAAAGCGTGTGCTAAATTTGAAAACCTCTGAGATTTTGGTCCCCTCACGAAGAAAATTATTCCTACACCCCTGCTTAATATTGTATCAAATAAAATGTATGACAATTCCGTTTTGTGCTGATCATTGTTTAATTTTTATAGATGCGTCTAAAAACAAGTTTGAATTATGAAGAAAAATGATGAAAAAACTGATGAACAAATTGAATAGAACCGCTGCTGCCTTAACCTTCCTACCAGGTTCATTCTTTCGATCTTTAATACAAAACTGATTTTGCTATCTTACTTTTGAATATATTGGAAGTCTACTGATTACCTCAATTAAATAACGAGTTTTCTTTCGTTAACCAGCTTTGAGAAAGTTTGATCCGGAAGAGAAAGACAAAGCATTCTATCTATTGAAAAGGTATACTAGTGTAGAACTTTACTCTTTGCATTTCGACGGAACATTATTTATACAGTCTTTGTGATAATCATTCTATACATTCTGTATGTTAGCATCCATGAATTAATTTCGCCGCAATTTTGAATCAGAATGCTTCCCTCAATGATTGTAAATATAGTTCATTCTACAGGCATGTGCACAATACCAGAAGATTTAGACTTTCTGAAATAAACAAAAACTATTTGGAGAGAGAGGAAAACAAATGTCAGATTCAGACCTCTGATCTGCTTTATTATGAGAGTAATCAGTTACCCAGCAATGAACCATGCGAAGATAGGTTATTAGGTAAAGTTTTTAAGTGGAACAAATTATATATGTTCTTAACTATGTAAAGTATGGATACATAATCTCAGTGATCAAACGTATTATTCCATTTGAATGAACCTGTTTTCCCAATATTATTCACAAACATGTTCTGTTAAACAACTAATTCCCTTTCCCATAATACAGTTGCTCAAGTGGCAGGAACGGAAACATGCATATTCAGTGTGATAGACGGACACGGTGGATGGCAGTGCGCACACGCTATAAAGCACAGACTGCCGTATTACCTGGCACTGTACATGTTAGAGGGGGCCGAGCTGACCTGGAGGAATCCCATGACAAGGGAAGACTGGGTGGGTACCAATTAGCAAACAATAAAATTTAATTATAATTTAAGTTTAGTAACCACTTATCAGTACTCAGAGTGGATACCAGATAATCCTAAATAGAAATAGACTTATTATATATTAGACAACTTACTAGTTTATACTCTTTGACATTCAGAATAATGTCTCTATTTACCAATAATTTTACCACCTAGATACTGCCGATACAAGGAGACGATTACAACCTATGGTTGGAGGACTACGTGTTTGACTTGAGAACAGCCCAGAGCTTCACCCACCGTTACAACAGAAAAATGCTGCAAAACGAGCTTCTCAGTGTCAACTCACAATTAGCCCTCGCTTTTGAGGTATTAAAGTGTAATTAGAGTGTTGTCTAAAATACAAACGATGTGTTCATCATTCAATCACAGATAATATTATATCAATCACAAATTACGCTATTCAAAAACATAAAAATTTATCAATGGTTTTACGAAAAGGAAAAACTGTCAACTATAGTTAACTAAAGTTAATGGTTGAGATTTATTTTAACCAAATTATACTCCCTCTTCTAATCTTCTGTTTGTCAAATTGGCACAACTAGCAAGCCGGGTCCGTTGTGAATAATGATAGTTGATATGCTTGTCACAAACACCTGACTATAATCATGATAATTACTTACAGGATTTAGACGAAGACATAGGAACAGAAGCGATCCCAGAAGAACAGCGAATCACAAAAGATACAGTGTCGCGACTAGTAACAGCAAGTTCGGGTGCTTGTTGCTGCACAGCAGTTGTTAAAGATGGCACAGTGCATGTGGCGGGCCTGGGAGATTGCCGTGCTGTACTAGGTAGGACTAATTGTGACATTTCTTAATATATGTTACTCATAAAACCATACTTCATAAAATTCTAAGTTCTTATGTACATGTTTATTGTTCATGAGTCGCTTTAGATGGCTTGAACTGAATCTTTGGATTTTGAGTTCTTTTTGGCTATAAAGCGATGTATAAATTCTAGTTATTATTATTTTTATTAAATGTGTATTTTTACTGTCATGAAGATGTAATTAGGTGAGACCGAGCTAATAGGTAACACGAGGGAATAGTCGTTACCAGTGCGCGGCTTTATCTGTAAACTACAGGTAACGACTATTAGCTCGGTCTCGCCTATTAGCTCGGTCTCACCTAGTACATCTTAACGACAGTTAGGGATCTGCTAAAACAATGTTACAAGTTTCACCGATCTTGTTCCGAGTTTTGCGATATTTCAAAAACTATCGACTATAAAGACAATCTGGGATTGCATGATGCATCCGGCGAGTGTGACATTGGTTTAAGGTGATCTATCCTAATATTGTAATTTTGTTAGTGTCGTTTAAATTGATAGGTGATTTGTCGGTCCCTTTATTTATACAACTTTGCAAGATAACTCTATAAACTTACACTTCTCAGATATCTTGTTAGCTTGTTTCCAATAAACGAATAGCTCAGCTAGCTGCTAGTGGTGACACTAATCGTCACTAGCTTCATGCTAATTGCAGAGGTGCTGTGTACAATACCAATGTTTCAACGTTACAATACCAACAGAGCTTTCAGAGTGTGCAATCAATCTTCAGTGTGCAATCAATCTGGAGTGTGCAATCAATCTCAGTGTGCAATCAATCTCAGTGTGCAATCAATCTCAGTGTGCAATCAATCTTTTCGCTTGTGAGTTGATATCAGTTGTCTCTTATCAGTAAATAGGTAATTGCACTGCCTTTTACTGTGCAGCTTTGCTATACACGAAGTATACACAATATGGAATTTTCGGTCAGTACACTTCACGAACTGGAGAAACAGATTGAGGACTTATCAGACTCGGTTTTAGCGAATCTTAATTGCAGAAAACTAGAGGACCTCACTCATGACTTGTTCAAGCCAAAAGGCGTTACAAAGGATGTAATAACCGAAATAGTTTTGAAGATGGGGTCTATGATATGTAAATCGAGAAATGTTTTGAGATCAGCAGCAGAGACGCTTGACCAACAGAAATCAGAACAGATAAAAACTCAGAACGAGCTCATCCAATGCAAATCTGGTAAACTAGCTTCAGTGAAGGAGACAGTGAAAACAGAAATGAAACTGTTTACAGATGTTGTGAAGAATAACAGCGTAGCTTCTGATATCTCTCCAGCTAAAATCAAAATGGCTGTGAAATCGGCGATTACAGAAGATGATCGGTCGAAAAACTTTATCATCTTCGGGGCCCCAGAACAGCTCGAATGTGAAGAGCAAGAAATGAACGAACGGGATCTTGTGGGTGATATTTGGGGTTTTATGAAGTTCATTGGAAGGCCGACTATATCAAACATTGAGAGAGTGGGAGTAAAGAAGTCTGACAGCCCTCGATCACGGCCGATAAAAGTTACTTTGTGAGATCCTGAAATTGTACGTGAATTTCTGAGCAGAGCAAAAGTCTTGAAATCGGTTGATGTGGCAGACTACAATTTCAACTACAACAAACTCTACTTATCTCCAGACAGGTCGCAGGATGAGCGAATCTCTCGCCAAAAGCTCGTACAGGAAATGAAAGAGGGAATCAAGAAGGACCCGAGCAAGAAATATTACATAAAAAACAACAAAGTTTGTGTCGCTGAGTGACTAATTATTTGAGAAAGTCAAGCATTTGTGTATGTGTGTGACGTTAATTTCATGGAGTTAAAACTTTTTGTATAACTGAGAACAGAGGTTAGAGGAACTACTGATAAGAGTATGATTAGACTGTGTTGCGTTATCAGTTGACTTTTTGCATCACTCTTCTAGATTATACGTAATAGGGTAACTTAGTTATAGAATAGGATTTTAGTTGTTGCAAGCATTGCACTAAGGTTTTAAGTTAGGTAAGTAGGCCACGAACTGTTGAGCAAACTGGGCTGGAAGCCCAAGCAATATGCAGTTCTGGTCTTGAGGCTATTTTACAATGTTTTATAACATGTGCTTGCAACTAGATCTTGAATGTCGCGTGCCCCACGGGGATTTAATTTATTCATACAATTTATTATATATTGGTTCCAAAGCCCTTATGGGTACCAGCAAAAACTGGTTTTCAAACAAGTTAAATGTAAAATTATCTAATTAACACATAACTAACCAGCTAATATTGTAATATAAATATTACTCCTTCATAAATATTACTCCTTCATAAAGCTCTCCATGCTCAGGTTCGTTAACCCCGGAAGGGAACATGCGTGCCACCGTGCTCACGGAGGAACACAGAACATACAACCCGATTGAGCGCGAGCGCCTCATCCGCGAACACCCCCATGAAGATGAGGATATCATGTTCTTTGATGAGCGCCTCTGTGGAATTTTACAGGTTCGTACTTGTGCAGATTTGGTGTTTCTGAGTGTAAATGGTATATGTGTACATGGTATGTCGCAAATCGTTTGTGTATAATGTGTTTAATTTGCTGTTGACTCACTACTGAGTACTGACTCAGGATAGTTTGTTGACTTTCAGGACAAGTTGCTAATGAGAATTCTGTCAGAATGATAGATCAAACTATTTCCATATTTTGTTGGATTGAGCTTAGTGTGTTTTATCGAAACAGTAATTAGATTGTTGAGATCGTAGAATGTACATTATACTGTAGTGACCTTTCTACAAATCAATACCGGTTGGCATCTGCACAAAAATTTAAATGTCACGCCGGTTGTGCTTGAGTGGTAGTGTTACTGCCGTTTTATATTTCAAATATATCACACCGGTTGTAAATGGTGGAGGAAGCTTCACTGTCGCTTTAAATATAGATATAATAACAAGCGTAACGTGATCATTAAGCCCGCAATAAGGCTTGTATTGCCACAAGTTACACAATACACATAATATTAATACATAATTGTTATTGAATTCTACAAATGTGCCCAAAGTAACAGCGTATGTATCCGATCAACACGTATCTGTGTTCTTATAATAAGTGCACTTAGCGACAATATCCAGACACTGTAAGGAAGGGAGGCGAGGCTGATTGTATTAAAAATAAAGGGGAACACCTTACTACAGGGTGTTTCAAGACTCTTGTCCAAATTTTGGAGGCCAGCTGAAGTCTGTTTTCCCTGACATCAGTATTTTCCTATATATAATATATACCTATATTATATGCTATGTTGTGTAATATGTATCATAGATATTATGTAGATTGTAAAATGTAAATAAACGAAAACCCTACTATGTTGGGTACGTTGGCCGTTGGGTACTATGTCATGTTATGTATCATGAATGCAACAGTTGGGTATCTCATTGAAACAGTAACTTTTAAATAGTTCTTAGATTTGGTGCCCTTCACACTCTTACTTCAGCCTACCCGAGCGTTTGGTGATGTGTCCCTGAAGTGGAGCGCGCGCGAGAAGGTTCTCATGCAGTACGTGTTCGACGATCCTGCCTACGTTCCCAACTACATCTCGCCCCCCTACTTGTCCTGCACTCCTGACGTGCGCTCCACTCAACTCGACCAAAACTCTCAGTTCCTCATTATCGCTACAGGTTTCACTTTCAATTCTTACTCTTGATTTCACTTACACAGCTGCCCTCGTTAAGTTGTTTGTATCTTACACTTGAGTTTTAAGTAGAATTCCTTTGGTCGGCACCGCTTGTTATCGGACTGTAACAATTTGTAATAAGCAGAATTTGCGGCAAGCACTGTACAATGCGTAGTGTAGATATTCATCCACGTCCATTGTAATTTGTACGTGGCTTGTTCTACTGTGACAACTACGATCATTAATTTTATAATGCTATGTTTAATCTTATGTTTATCATAATATGCATCCACTTGGTTAGACCGGAGTTAATGAAGTGTGTTGACTGTTGCTGAAATTAATTTCAACCACACTCAACACTGCATCGATCTTCCTTCTCTTATTTAAATTAAACTTCCGACTATTCGCTTACTGTAGCTACTAGCTAGGAAAGCCATCCTATAATAATGTCCTTAAAGTCCTGATTTTTGTCCTTTATTACATGTAGAGTATCGAAAAGTGCCGTGTGTTTTGACAGGGCTAGCTTGAACTAAAACATTTTTCAGATGGTCTATGGGACGGCATGAGTGACGATGAAAGTGTGAAACTTATACAGAACAAACCATCTGATGTAAACAGCGCTACATGGCTCATACAGAACTCGCTGGCCCAGCACAACGAAAAGAGATTGTCTAAAATACTTAGTATTCCTCCAGGACCCATATGTAGAAACGTTAGGGACGATATTTCAGTCATCGTTATTTATTTTAATACATGATAAATAATGTCATACAGCCGTTGCTATTTACGTATCAAATACTATGAAAACCGTTTTCAATTGATTTTTCAATTCAAGGGATTAAGAATAGCTGTGTTATTTTAATGTGACCCGCTGTTTTAAGAAATATATTTAAACATTTTGTTGTGGATTATTCTAGTTTCAAGCTGTCGAAAGATATTATTTATAAATTGAAAACTGAACATTTTATACAGTTAGATTTTATTAAAATATTGGTCTCATTATTTTCTTAATCGCATCAATAACATGAATAAGAATTGTTTATATTCACAAGCTGGCTTGTCCGTAAATGTGACATGTGCAGTGTGGAATCAGCAATTATTCCAGTAGCAGGGAGGAGTTGAGTGTGCACTTCAGTGTATAGAGTTTTTTGCTGCTGAATTGGGTTTGCCTTTAAAAAATTTGGCGGCCAAATTCTGAAAAATGCACAGCAAATTTTAGAATTTGGCCGCCAAATTTTTTAAAGGCCTAACTTATAATTCCACTACAAAACTTAAGGTCGAAATGCGATTCTACGTTGGTTCTAAAAAATTTCATGAAAAAATATTGAAACCCTATTGAGTTCTATTGTTTTGAGCGAAATCAGTTTCGCAAATATCACGAACTGAGATATGGGCGATTTCTTTCATTTGTTGGTCAACTGCTATCTCGAAACCAAGTTTCACTAAAAAATCAGGGTGAACCCAACTCCTCCATGCTACTGGAGTAATTCATGATTCCACACAGCAAATGTCACATTTACGGACGTTCTGGAAAACGACTTGACGGAACACGCTTTGAAGATATCCTTGGCGAGAGAAGCGCGCACAAGAGATATTTTCGGCCTCTCTGCGCGCGCGCGGCACCGGCACGCCTTCGAAGGGAATTCTCTTATATCATGCCGCCGCCAACCGTGATGCCGGTTCTACTTCTAAACACTGTTTCTCAATTCTCTCATGATGGTTCACACCGATCTTTGCTTCCTAAGTAACCCGCGAAATCGATAGATCAACGTAATCAAGTCACCACATCCGAATTCTTTCGGAACAGTTGTTTCGACAATGGTGAACAATCAGTCAAGCGTGATATGAAGCGGGTTTAGTAGTAGCTCACAATCGGCGTACAAAAATATGAAATACAGACCCATATAGAAGATTTTTATTTCTTGGCATTCAGATTTAGTGATTTAAGACACCCATTCAAATTTCAAAGATGTTTGAAATATCGAAGTTTAGTTGATGATCGTTCACTCCTAGGCTAGCCCTACTCCGTAAGTACTAAGCATTTGTGATATGGCAACTATTGTGTTATGTGTAGACTCTTTTTTAACGCTTCTCCCAGGTGTATTAAATGTGAACCATCCCTTGAGATACTGTTTTTATTTATCGGACCCAGACCAATAGTTACATTACCGAACGGAAACGTTTCCGTGAATTCACAATTGCTTCATGTTCATCCGTTTTCAATTAAAAATAATATCGATTCGTTATTCTGGTTTATAAAAATCAATTATATTTGTATTACAAATATAGCGCAACATAAATTTCCACCCAGACCAGTCAAGTCAACAGTCTAAAGAAACACCTTGACCCTAGAGCAGGCAACATACAACCAGTGCTTTTTATATTTGCAAACTTTTTTTTCTTTCTAAAACACAGAACAAAAAAAATATTATTTTTTTACTTTCAGATGTTGGTGGGAAGTTAATAATGTCACTGGCAGGAATGTTGCTGAGAAAACACTAAATGCACACATGTAACATTGAGTCAATATAATGTGCGTCTCTGTACCCGTAACAACAACCATAAAACTGTTAATCATTAAGAGAATGTTAATGTTCTATCTGAATGAAGGAAGGCCCATTTTCTACAGGTTAAGACTTGAGTCCGTCTCAGACCGTGCTGTCTAGCTTACTGGATTCTTGTCGCTTGTGTTCCTGAATCACGGGATCTGAAATAGAAGAGACTGTGTAAGTATTACTGTGTAAGTATTACTGTGTAAGTATTACTGTGTAACTACTACGGTACGACAATCTAGAATCGCTCATATTCATAACCTTAAAACTATCACAACTACAAGACTTGTGGTTGCCCTTGATGTTGACCATTAATTTAAGTAATCTTGGCAAAAGCCAACACAAAACAACACACATAATTAGTTAATGAAAGTGGGAGTAGTGTTTTAACTTACAGAAGTAGGGGTGGGACTAGTGTTTTAACTTACAGAAGTAGGGGTGGGACTAGTGTTTTAACTTACAGAAGTAGGGGTGGGACTAGTGTTTTAACTTACAGAAGTAGGGGTGGGACTAGTGTTTTAACTTACAGAAGTAGGGGTGGGACTAGTGTTTTAACTTACAGAAGTAGGGGTGGGACTAGTGTTTTAACTTACAGAAGTAGGGGTGGGACTAGTGTTTTAACTTACAGAAGTAGGGGTGGGACTAGTGTTTTAACTTACAGAAGTAGGGGTGGGACTAGTGTTTTAACTTACAGAATTAGGGGTGGGACTAGTGTTTTAACTTACAGAAGTAGGGGTGGGACTAGTGTTTTAACTTACAGAAGTAGGGGTGGGACTAGTGTTTTAACTTACAGAATTAGGGGTGGGACTAGTGTTTTAACTTACAGAAGTAGGGGTGGGACTGGGCTTCCTTAGCGCACATAATTAGTTAATGAAAGTGGGAGTAGTGTGTTAACTTACAGAAGTAGGGGTGGGACTAGTGTTTTAACTTACAGAAGTAGGGGTGGGACTAGTGTTTTAACTTACAGAAGTAGGGGTGGGACTAGTGTTTTAACTTACAGAAGTAGGGGTGGGACTGTGCTTCTTTGGCGGTGAGTCTATCGTTGTGGTCGTATCTTAATAATTTATCTAAGTAGTCCAGCGCTTCGGGGCTCACTAAATGTTGATTATCTTGACACACAAATCGTTCCCACCGCTTTTTAGAGTGCCTGAGAAGATATTATCAGATCTGGGTAATCGTGAAAACAATTGAAATGTAATCAATGAACCCTTTACTTCAACGTGTAGCCTTCTTCTGGTACTACTGGTCTTTTCAAGTTTTTGATAGTAAAGAAGTATTACCTTCCAAGCAGCTCGTTGTAGCGTGGATCAAGATCAACGTTATATTTCTGGACATACTCGTAAAGTTCAGCCGTGCCTAGCACTTTCCCAATACGCACCAGTTGATCGTAATTGTCGTGACCGTGGAAGAATGGTTCTTTTCGGAAAATCTGGAGTTGTAAGAGGAATTTATTAAAAGAAATAAGAAGCTTTTGCGATGATTGTAAGGTGATTATATCCTTAACCCAGCTCCTGCTAGGAAGATCTTAGATCTTAAGATACATCATGCTACAGCCCACAACGATATACTACAAACTAATAACTATATGCTACAAATGTTGCGGCATTCCAACGACAATTATAAAATAACATCTTCATGGATTCAGTAAGGCTGGTCTCACATGCACAGTAAGCAGATAAATTGGGCGGTAAATAAGGTAAATAATCAGGGGGTCACAAATAATAAGTGGCTGAGTGTGACTGCTATTTCAAGCGATCAGAGGGAGCCGAACTTTGACAACATACATAGTAAACTGTTGATAACAGGCAAACTCAATCTTGTTGTCAGATCTGTACTGAGGTCTGAGGCATTCAATAGAAAAGTCCGCGCTTTTCACGCACGCACATTTTATGATGATTTAGAATTTACGACGTAGCGTTTTTAATTTTAACCCATCTACCGCTAGCATGAAAATTCACGTTCGCGCGCAGCGCTTTAGTCACTAGCCGCTTTCTCTAAAAATGCGACCGAAAAATTGCCCTACAAAGGTAGTTGGAATTGGACGCCTAGCAACAAGTTATATTAATTAAACTCACCATACTGGCAAACATACACCCGTAGCTCCACATATCCAATGAATAATCGTATTCCTGAAAGTTTCCAGATAATATTGTGACGAGTAAACCGTATGGCAAAAAAGACATGCCCACAAACGATGGACGATTCACGATTGCATAACAAAAGAGATCTTGTTTAACATTTAAACATGGGTGCCAATCTAAAGTTAAAAGTCAAACCTGGTAATCTATGAGTAATTCGGGTCCTTTGAAGTAACGGCTGGCCACCCTGACATTATACGGTTGTCCGGGATGATAAAACTCGGCCAGACCCCAATCTATCAGTCGAAGTTGTCGTTTCTCGTGGTCGATCATAACGTTATGAGGCTTCACATCTCTGAATTATGGGATTACATTTATATATTTTATCGCACATTACGATCATATTACAGCGCCGCATATAATATTAAATTTACAACTCACATTTTCTTGAGATCTTAGATCATAAATACATGATATTAGATCATTCATTGCACACACAGAATGTTACATGAAATTAGTAAGTTTTGATTATACAGCTGTGTAAAGGTGTCACATCTGATTAAATGAAATACGATGCTGTGAGGACTGAGAGACACACCTGTGCATTATGCCCATACTGTGGCAAAAATCGAGGGCCTTTAACAGTTCATACATGTAATATCTGATATCATAGTCCGTTAGAGTCTGATACAATTGCTGAAAATTGTCGAGTTTAGTTAAAAATTAGAATTAACTATTGTTGGAACAAAGACTGTTTTGACACACGTTAGAGCCACTTGCATGTCTGCACGCTGGTTATCATATTATAGTCGCGGTCACGTGTCAAATGTAATTAAATTTAAATACACCTTCATCAAACTAAAATATGGCAAAACATCATAATATTAAACACATAATATAAATATAAACCTTGAAGTCTCGGTTGTTAACATATTCGAATATAAGGGCAGGGGTACGGGCTACAGGGTCTTTAACCACATCAAGTAGCGTTATGATGTTAGGACCATTCCGTAAATTCTCCAGAATCTTTATCTCTCGCTTTATCTTCTTCCTTTTAACTGGCTGCAAGTTTATTATTGTGTCAGATATTATGTGGATTATGATTGGTACAAAACTAGTGTGCTAGACATGAAAGTGAAATAAAGACAACATTATAAAGCACGAAAATGTTTACCTTTAGAATCTTGACGACCACTTTTTTGTTAGGAGTGCGAATATCGACCCCCTCGAATACTTCACTGTATTTTCCTCGACCTAGCTTTCTTACCAGTTGGTAGTTTTCTTGGTCACTGCAGGATATGGTATTTAAACATCACAATTATCATTTTTACCAACGTAAATTTGTACAACACAAAAAGCGCGATAGTATTTCATCGTTTGAAGTCTAAACTTAAATTTGCATTGTGCCTCAATTTCAGGAGGATGTACATTGTACGACGTACGTGCATAAAATATCTATTTCCATAACACCTAAAAATGGCTATATTATTAATATCCATTCTTTGGTGTTATGGAAATGGATATTTATATACGGATATTGGGATGGTACAAAAGTATGGGAAAGTTTATGTAATTTATACCATTTTTAAAAAGCGCGAATACACAATCGCTGAGAAATCAGGAGGATTGTATTTAACATTTAACAGACATATAAAGAGACAAAAGTAAATGAAGACGTTGTTGTATTTTTGTGTCTGATAGCATTTCAGCCCTTGTCACGTTAGAAATTTATGTTTAAACTGTTGTTGTGATCCATCAATCGTAAAGTTATGTTAGCCTTAACCATACAAGTGCAATTATTTCCCAGATCAACAGCCACCGAGCCGGGGTTGTGGGTATCAATGTAGCCCTAGCTTGTGAAATTAAAGGCATAATTTGCATTGAATAGCCTATGTATAAAATGTAAATATAATATGCATATTATATGTCTTTTTCTGAACCAATATTTATCGAATTGGCGTTAGGATTTACCTTCCACACAGTATTTAACTAGTTATAACGGAAGTAAGAACCACTGCTAAAATCTACAATCTTTACTGCCAAAGCCCCCCCCTCCAGGCTTGATGAACGGAAAAATTTTTCACTTCTCTAGCAATGCTGAAGACATGCAGGGCGAACGGATACATGAATAAACTAAATACTTAACTTGTAAATTAATGGTATTTAGTCCCAGACATGACACATAATTAGGTAAGAGTTTTAAACTCGGCCTAGTATTGTTAAACGCAGACTGGGTAAGAAGTTAAGTCCAGGGCTATCAGAATACTACGCCCACGTACACACTCAAAATATCTTGTCAGTTACTTTTTTGAAGCGAACTTAAGGTACATTTTTGCCTTTCTATCCACAAAAACATCTTAAGCTGCCGAAAGGTTCGAAATCAAAACATGAATAAGTTAGGCAAACATAAATGTGTTTAAAAAAATATGCAAGTTCTCGAAGCCATAATGTAGGCGTGGCTATGTTACACCCTTTTTTCTGGGCAAACTCTTAACTCTAGTTTCTAAGAAGTAAAAAATTTAGAGACATTCTAATTTGAAGGCAAGAGATAAGTTAGGCAACCATCAAGAGGTCCGCGTAATCCGGCGAAAGCTTAATTTCTTACGATTAAACAATGTTCGCCAAAGATCCAAGAGCCTAAGTTTTACAGTTTGCCTGAAGTCGAGACAGAAATAAACAGTATAGCTTTGTTTCCTTAATATTTACGGCCAAATATTTCATCCAATTTAAAATATCCATTAACCCCGGTCCGTTCACCCCACACCCCACCCGCATCCGCCCCCGACCAGACTTACCCCCAATCAGTCTGATGGTTCTCGGTAGTCCCAGAGTCACGTGGGTTGTTCGTGTTCACATCCGCTTACAAACTCCGGCTCTTGAGGTCCGTTCATCTGTGAGTTGGATATTCACCTGAAAAACAACTCATGTCAAAAACTCGATTTTGGTACAATTTAAGTATCTTATTAGTGACCAATTAGTTACTAATGATAGGTTATTAGTGACCAATTAGTTACTAATGATAGGTTTATCTTATTAGTGACCAATTAGTTACTAATGATAGGTTTAATCTATTAGTGACCAATAGTTACTAAATATAGGTATTTATACCGCAGCTTAATCCTATAAACCCGACTTGGATGGAGGTTATTTTTGAAGAATGGAAATCAGTTCATTACCAGGAGAAGGCTTCAATTAACACTTGGTATCCGGTTACTGGTATTAGATACAAATGAAGAATGTTGTATTTGGTAAAAGTTATGCTCTGGTCTTACTGATAAGCGGTGTGAACACGGTTTGAGACAATGCAATTCAAATATCAACACAATGCAATCACATATCCCATAATATCGTAAATTTCCAAATCTTCATTAAGATGAGTCAATGGATGAATTATGCACAAACGAGTAGTGGTTCTGCGGAAATGTAAAAACACAACACGCGTGAAGGAGTGTAAGTCAAGACGTGTGTAAGTACAGCTTGTTTTGGATATTAGTGTAGGGAGTAACTAGAGATAAGACTCAGATATTATACAGTTCACATTTAGTGAAGTACTGTGGCTTTAAGATACATATTAGGGTGTAAACCGTACGTGGGCATCAGAGAAAGTGGCTCTGAGACATTCGAGTGTGTTACTGTTACAGCGAGATATTTTAGTGTGGGTTACTGTGTATAGCTGAAATAATCGAGTGTGGTTACTGTTACAGCTGAGATTCGAGTGTGGTAGCTGTTACCGCTGAGATATTGATGTGGTATACTGTTTATTAGCTGAAGATATTTGAGTGTGGTTACTGTTACAGCTGAGATATTTGAGTGTGGTAACTGTTACAGCTGAGATATTTGAGTGTGGTTACTGTTCAGCTGAGATAGTTGAGTGTGGTTACTGTTAACAGCTTGAGATAATCGAGTGTGGTATACTGTTATAGCTGAGATATTGAGTGTGGTGTACTGTTACAGCTGAGATATTTGAGTGTGGTTACTGTTACATCTGAGTTATTCGATGTGGATGCTGTTACGCCTGAGATATTTGATGTGGGTTATGTTACAGCTGAGATATTCGAGTGTGGTTACTGTACAGCGAGATATTTTAGTGAGGTCAGTCAGCATACCTAGAAATAAAAACAAATATTTGTTTCCGAAAAATGAGACATTAATGTCTATTTATTTCAACAGGGCTGTGTCACATAATATGCAAGTCAAAAGGAGGACATGCTAAAAATATGCTGAGTTCAAGCTTTAATACAACCTTATATCGATTTTGATAGGCAATATTTGTCATGAGGAGTTTGAATAATCTTCCCTTCACTAGGCTTTGAATAGGCCTCATAATGAACGACACATCACTTACTGAGATCACTAAGAATGATATTTAATCAAATACGGATCACTATATTGATCACAATAATAAAATAGTGTGAGAAAAGCTAAGATACCGTTGAGACCGATCAGATGGTTTCACGGCAATCAGGGACCTTCCAGCACCTTCATGTCCAGCATAAGCTCCAATATTTCCGAACGCTCTCACTGTACCTACACACGGCCAGATAAGACAGTACCAGACGATTTAAGAGTAAGAAGATAAGATCACCAAACCGATACAAACTACAGCAAATGACGAAGACAAGGCCGTACTAAAGCTACCGCCCCAGGGTTCCTAGATACGAATACGACGGAAGTTACACGACTACACTTGTACACCACATGAGTTGCAGAGAGGTTCTGTCTTATTACTGTAACCCAGACTGTCGGGAAACACGCGCAGAAAGAGATCAGACTAGAATTAAAAGGATCTTATATAATAACACGGATAGAACAACAAGAATGCAACTCGCTCTCTCATCTCTCCCTCTCTCTGAATACACACCTGGTTGGAGTCCCCCCACCCCCCCCCCATCACTTCCAACCCAGCATTTCCTCCCTGCATCTTTCTATTAGTTTGTGCAGTAGAAAAAGGGAGCAGATGATGAGCTAGTACCTGAGCAACCTGCAAATGTATCATATCTCAGCAGTGGTGTGGAGAAAGGGCACACGAGATGCAGACACGGACTTAACGTATATCAGGCTTATCATCAATCATCGACCTCGTTCAAGCTGGTATTGGACCAAAATAACTAGCCGAGTCATGGGAATGTATCTGGGTAGTTGATTTGTGGTACTGATTACACTGTTTATTTTCTCCTGTTTCAGCCCAGTTTTGCAGCCTCTGTATCAGTAAACTTATTGTAGTGCTAGTGCTGGGCTGGACACTGGAATCGGCGATTATCTAATGAAAGTGGGTAGTGTTATATAGTTGAGGGAGGTCAGCGATGGAAGTCTTGTCTGGGAAAACACATGTGTCGGATCCAAGTACCGGTGTAACCTGGATCCCAATGAGAATTGCCTGGCCAGCGGAGACACGACCTGTTTTTAGGTAGTGTTACCATATAAGGGAGTTTTCTGTGGTAACGTGACCTTATATGGTAACACTAACCCGCCACCATTATAATATGGAGTTCTCATGCTTCCTGAGATTGATTTGTCGAACTGTCAATTCAAAACTCGACCATCAAGATATTCGAGTAACTAGTTATTGTAACAATTTAACGGTTTCAACCGAATAAAAGGACAGAAGCATGGAATGGAATATTTCCGACAGTACGGTTTTCTTGAAGATACAAAGCTGGGATTATTTACTGTGTTCGTACAATGTGCAGAGTTCTATAGTTATTACTAATTCTTTCGCTGTAATGTGTGGAATGTCTGGAATGTATCGTGAAGTTGCCCCCAAATTCAGAGGGTGTAAGGGTAAAGGGATGGCGGCTTGTTCGGGGACAAGCTTTACACTACATAGTTCAGCGGAAATAATACATGATAATACGTATGTAAATATGTATGTAATATGTATGTAACGGCCCCCTTAAACAGATTTTAACAAGGTTCCTCTAACAACGCTTAAAGGAGGCGGAGAAGGCGGAGGAGGCGTTATTGTGATCTCAAATCTCATCCAACTTGACCATGTGTTTCCAAAAGAAACGCGGCGCAAATCAGGTCACAACAAGACCAATTACACAAGATACAGTGAAGTAGTGAGAGGGAGCATGCACAACGAATGAGGGAGTTTTCCAAGCAAACAATGTCCATTAAACAGCGCCAGGGGACACGTGGCAGCCACAAAATGTACTCTCTGTAACGTGTACATCTTTGTATATAATTAACGTATAGTATATCATATACTATATTACATAACTACAACTGTAATGTCTCCTGTCAATAACGCTAACATGGTTAGTGTGCTAGGAGCAGCTACAGTCTAGACACTATATGTCACACGATTGGAAACTGTGGGAACTTTGTTGCAACAGTCTACAACAATTATATGTTCACAAGATTGAAACTGTGGAACTTTGTTAAGGAGCCTACAGTCTACGCTATATGTCACACGATTTGAAAACTGATGGGAACTTTTGTACCTAATTTGATGTATTTAGGATGATTAAGTCACCACTTTAATGTAAAGATGGGAGTATTTCATGGTTTAATATTGAGGACATGATTCTTTGAACGGATTACTCATTCCGTTGCTAAATTCCATCCTCACGCCTATATATAAACCTTGTAACATGAAATTTAAACAATATTTAAAGCTGCAAGTACTACGCCTGGTACGTATCTCATTATACTGTAGTTTGTTTGTGAGGGTGATAAATGTAAGCCAATGTAAGGTATCCTCCACTACATCGCAGGAGACTTTAGTACAATCGTTCTCGAAATTAGCAACACGATGGTAGAGATAAGGGTTCGTTGTGTTACTCAATTTTATAAAGTAAGTGGGGTGACGTAGTGTGAACTGGAAAGCTATTAATAGTCACTACACTCAATTTCAACCTTCAGGCCAACCCAAGCCTTGTAATAACATGCAAAAAAGCATGCAAGAATAAAGATAGTGAATCCTAATTACCGCGTCTATTTCATCCTCTCTGAAAATATAATCCTCACTGCTGAGGACGTCCCCGCGCGCCTGGCGCTCCTGCTTCTTCTCCTCCTTAGCTGCCAGCTTCTTCTTCCTTGCTTCCCGCTCTTCACTATCCGATATACCTACAGGGGAGGAGCTCTCAGAGCTGCTCTCTTTGTGAGAAACCAGCTTGTAGTTTTCCAGCCAACTCTTTAACCACTCTGGACTGTACCAAAGTCTCATGGTGAGAACTCCAATATGTACACGACACTTGTATGATATGCATGACGTCTTAGAAACAGTGGTCCCGGAGACCTCTGGCTCTCGTATGTGACGTAGTGTCCCGCGTCACGGTATTTGTTGTAACACTCCCACAGCTTCTCATCTACTGTCATTATGTATACGGGTTTAGGGGGTTTTGCTGGTGGTTTTGGTGATGGTGCTGCTGGTGGTGCCGCTGGTGGTGGTGGTGCTGCTGCGGAGGTTCCACTTGCTCCTCCTCCACCACCTCCTCCTCCACCATGGCCATGACCACCTCCCTCCTCCACGTCTCTTTTTAGCCTTATTTGGTGCACCCGCCACTTTGTTCTTCTGTTGTGCCCATTTCCTGATGGTCTCCTTATCGAACCCTGTCCTCTCAGATACCAGCTGTATATTGTTGTTGTGTTTCTTTAGTTCGTTTAGCACTAAAATCTTGTCGCGCAAGCAATTCCCGCCGCCATCCACGCCCATAGTCACAGTTTGACGGCACGCGCCGTGAGCCGCGCTGTCATTACATAGCACCTTACCCTTAAAAAAGAGCAACTTGATAAACATGATTAGTACGATTAACGTTATCTATAAACTGACGAAACATAAGAAGCAAGAATAGCATAGTACTACAGTGGTGTAGACACAGAAGTATGTGAACTGTGAAGTCATAATACAAAACAACGTTAAGAATGCAACAAAGCGGAAGAATCTAAACAAAAGAATTGATCTAAAAACAAAAGATTGGGACAGTTTAAATGGGAAACACGTCTTGAAATGGACAAAGCAGCTCTGTGATGACTCATGATCTGGACCAAGTGCTTTAATATAATTTACCGAATATAAATCAACAACATGATACCAAATATCTGCTTCAAGGAATCACTGCCAACTTGTATATGCGATAACGTTAGTACTACGTCGTCATAAACGGAAACTCGATATCAATAAATATTGTGACTCGAGTGAAAGCACAAATGCATTGTACATACAGCTAATGAACGAGAACAAGCGACTAAAGCAAGACAACGAGCATACATATTTTCGCTGCATAACTACAAAATATGTCTAATCGCGGAGGCCATGGCGCATATATTCCGCACAGCGCAAACTTTAGACCACAACATGCATTATTAAACCCTCTTCCTTGCTACTAATAAAAAGTCAGAGAGATACACACACACTGCTTGTTCGTGTCAAGAGTCAAGTGAGACGTGTATTATGAACCGATTAGTAATATCTCAATTGCTATATGACAAGCACGCCACTCATCATCACGGTAAACTCACATACAGGGTCCGTCACGTGATCACAACGCGCTGGGAAATGTGCTGGCGCCATTGTGGTTCAAATGCACGTGCTGGCGCCATTGTGCTTTAAATGCACGTGCTGGCGCCATTGTGCTTTAAATGTACGTGTGATATGTCCTATAATCATGTCCTGTATATATTCAGGGCCGGGATAAAACGAGGTGTAAGTGAGACAAATAAGAAATTAAATTTTAAAATTGGTTTGCCGATGATTGACGCAACTAATGAGAAATTGAAAGGAAATATACAAATAAAAAGCAAGATTACGATAAAATGAATTATAGGGTTATAGGGTACAAACTAACAAAGGCCACAGCTACGGGAAAGGGAAACCGGAAAGCGAAATGGAATTCCTGGAATGTATCAAAGATTAAGCGATAAAAATCCTACCCACATATCACATGGATATTGGATAAGGATAAAACAAAAAGTTAAATACCAGGACACTGATTGCATCTAGCATCATGAGACATTAAATAAGTGAATAACCTATGTAAACTGCATACTGCATACTGCATACTGCATACTGCATACTGCAATTAGTAATGTAGTGAGAAAGGTTCTAATCTTGTCAGGGATCTGAGTGTTTGAGTAGAAGGGGGTGTATTCTTATTCCTAGTAGTACAAGTTAATCTAATTCTTTAAGAACTGTCATTGTTAACCTAATTATGGGTAATTACATTAATTATAATCATGGGTATGTTAGTAGTTACAACGATTTTGATAGACTGGATTAGTGGTCAGTAAATCCGATAACTGTTAGTGATGAATGTTTGAGAAACCAGTAAAAACTAAAGACGCTCCAATCCTGGAAGCATGGAGTAGAGACGAAAGCATACTGTAAATAATGTACAAAACAGGATACGTGTAACACTAGTAAAGTAGGTTTAGTCAAGCAGTGGTTTATAATAACCAACAAGTGTGGAACGCATCATCGACACTACAACTGGGGGGTTGACACGCACTATTCTGACTCACAATGCGATGATCTAAGTACCCTGAAAATAGCAAAACACTACAAGTAGGTGTGACGTAGTGTTGGCATTTGTCTCGGAGACACTGTTAACTCATGTAACCCCTCATGACAGGGTATTATTTATCAAACATTAAATCATTGGAACGTTTCTGTTCGTTTGAAGCACTTCTCCCCTTTCGTCACTTTCCAAGCTAATAAAACAAATTTCCAGATTTTATGCATCATAAAGGACGACACACCATGTTGCGTGAGCGATCCACAGTAAATAGCAAGCATCGGAACTTCTTTTAGTAGTGGTTTTGAGGAAACGCATATCAAAAAGCGGAAACGTTTGAGTCGAAGAGATGGCTTTAAAACCGACTGCCGGCTGAAGTAAGTGATGAGATGTTGCAGCGAGCAAACTGTCCGACAGTCCAGTTCCACAGAAAGCGGAACAGAGTGTGTGTGATTGATTTGACCGATAAGCTGGCACGCAACTTCATAACAGAGCACATTGTGAGATTTGTTTGGCAGCGAGCAAAGCTAGTTGTAGTTGGGATCTGGCCAACCGTTGTGACAACTGCTGGTTATTAAAAGAATAATCTCAGAAAGAACTCCAGTGTTGTATTACCAGTATAAGATACAGCACAGAGACCACTGTGTTCCTACCTTCGTCTTGGGTAACAGAGTGCTGAGGCTCAGACAGAAGTTAGACCGTTTGAGGGAGGAGGTGATATCGTAACAGAGCATGACTCCTCTTCAACCGTGCTTCCAGGGAAACCGAGCAGTTAGCACTATAGTCTATAGTAAACACGTACAACACAGGTGCTGACTGCTAACCCGTTCCAAGAGCGGCTATTCGCTGTAACCGTCTCCTTTAGAATATACTCTTCACGGTATCAATATCAAAGAAACATACGATCACTTCTACAGTAAAATCCTCTGTTATTAAAGCTGTTATTAAAGCTCTCACGCTTATCTTGTATGTTCAGTGTTCACGTTGAAGTAACAAACTACTGAGAAGAAGAGAAAGAAGAGTGCCGAAACCTGCTCCGGATAATATCTCTGATCTGTCAGACACCAAAGAATTGGCATGCACTTTCCAGAACGGCTCATCATGTTGAAACACACACGACACCATTCAGCTATATTTACTCACTATAACACACACCTCAGTATAGTTATTCACACCACGTACGTGTAGTGTGTACCACGTACACTGGAATGTTGGTAATTTGCTGCTTGCGGTAACTTAACAACCACACTTCACTTCAGGACGAGCATCAATTCCTTGGTGTTCAACCAAATTATAGCTTAACCATGGCAACTGTCATCTTAACCACTGACAGACGTCATGTACTCGCCATGATATATAATATGTCCATCATCTAGCATGACCATTAAAGTTAGGTGATGGTTGCCAGCGTAGAAAGCCACACTATATATTTGGTAAGCTTCTCAGTAGTAAGGCAGCTAGCTAGTCGGGGAGGATGCATGACCATAATTGGATTAATCAGCAAATAGTCGAGTGTAGAATTCTTCGTTCCTGGCGAGAGAAGGGTGTACTGTAATAATATAGTACACTGAGAACTGAGCAGGGAGAGAGAGACACTGAAGGAGAGAGGGAGGGAGGAGAGAGAGAGAGAGAGAGAGAGAGAGAGAGAGAGAGAGAGAGAGAGAGAGAGAGAGAGAGAGAGAGAGAGAGAGAGAGAGAGAGAGAGAGAGAGAGAGAGAGAGAGAGAGCAACCACTCAATAATCTGCATTACATTGCACCACCTCCACGACGAGATCCCTCACTTTACTATACTAAACCAGAGTATTGAAGTAGCTATCATCCCCTTAAATTGCAGCGCTTTATAAGCTCACATATCTGTGTTACAAGTTGCACAACAATGATATGTTCCAACGCCCACCACGTGCAGCTGGTCACGTACGAACTTCAAATAATGGTCACGTACGATCTTCAAATAATGGTCACGTACGAACTATGATTGGCCGAGTTCAAATAATGGTCACGTCCGACTGGCTAAGTTTTAATAAGCTAACTTCTCTAATAATGTAATGAACCTAAAAGCGTATGTCTCAAAGACACAGAGCTCTCAGAAACCTAATTATAGCGTGAGTAGTACGAGGGGAGGGGGCCGGGGGGGGGGGGGGGCGCGAGTTAACCTAACCAGATTAATGTTGTTAAGTTGGTAAGTGGTTATTACACGCTCTTTTTACACACTATTTCAGTGTAAACACAGCCGGGATAAGAAATACACATGATATTTCCTGACCCGGAATGAATTACAAAATGATAATGAGTAAGTGGTTAACTAACTGACGACGAATGGGGGAACTTTTTGCAAATTGCAATAATGCGAATGCTTTAACGGTTAATATGCGGGAAATTTAATGCACGGAGTTTTCGTAATCATTGAATTGCTATGTACCAGCAGAGTCATCATACTGTTCCGATTATCATGAGAACAACTCAACAAGCAAAACGTGTCCACCGATTAAGATGAAATATAATATAGACAATGAATAATGAGTGTCGATCAGTTTGTTCGGTCTGTAAGTTTAAAAAATTCAAAGCCTCCACAACACTAAATAAAGCACAAGATAGTTTAACTTCTAAACTCATCTAATGTACATTTTACACTCAAGCATTATAGAAGTTTTCACTCACAGCTTTTTGCTAAGATTGGGATTGTGGTCGATAATCGAATACAACATTACAATAACAAGTCTATCTCGGACTGTACACGATTCAGTCCACCCTGCAGTAATACAGTTTGTGAAGGAGTAATACAGTAGTAATACAGTTTGTGTTGAAGGAGTGTTGAAGGAGTGATAAGCGTGGAATACGGCTATGCAGTTAACCGTTCTTAGTAAGATGGCTACCATTCAGATAATACATAGTATGATAAGGACATATAATATAGTGAGGATAGTTATGTAGTCAACTCAGCCCACCCCTCCCCAGTCCCCCCCCCCCCCCTCTAGTAGATAAATAAATGGTGCAGATTTGATTAAAGCAACTGATGAAAGTGTGTGGTGGCTCAGCAAACTCTAAGTTACATTCAACATATTGACCAAGACGCGGACTACTTCAAATCGACGATATGCGGGGAATTGGAAAATCATTATATCATTATCCAATTATTGTATCTAAGTATTACTCAAAATTATGTATAATCGTATACTTTTGCTTTGCTGTGCACTGTGCAGCCACGATAGTTGATTCTCAAATCTGGGAACCATAACAAATCAATATAAACATTTTAAGTAAAGAAATAAGTTAATAAGTCAG